GGTAAAACAGAAGACTACAAGTCAATTGGCAACGTCAKGACACAGTGCTGCAAAGAAAACAGACTGCCATTTGGTTGATGGATGACTAATTACATTGTATTCATTAATTCATTTGTATAAGAAACAAAAAAGAATAAATGCTTATTAAGCAAACAATATGCACTATCCCCTACTACACTAGGTAAGTGCTCTATGAAAAATATATGCAATTCTCTAGTTTCAACAGCCTAAGCTGTAGGATACTCTCCCACAGTMATGCAGTAAAGATGTAGCAGAATGCCTTAACCAGATCCAGAATTAACTCTGAATATAATATCTGACTTCTCAACTTGTGTGTGCAAAATCTTATTTATACCCAGATAACATTTTTCATCTCCTAGTATTCTTTTAAAGCATTTCAGTTGTAAGGCAGGAACAAGAACGGTAATATATTTTTTAAAATATTATTTTCCAGATTTGTCAGCATTGAAGACAACCTTAAAATCATTAAGCTGCTATGTGAAGAAAACATCTCAATACCACTTTGGTATTACAACTTATGACTAAAAAAATTCTACAAATAATTTCTCAAATATATTTATAGGAATAAAATGTATCTGCCTAAACACCCATACCTGCAGAAATACAACCAAGAACTCCAAGTCTCCATTTATTACCATRAATGGTAATAAATAACTCCTTTTATAACTTCATTTCCTAACTAGTTTAAAAGTGAAAGACCAAATGAAACAGATTATTTCATACTCAAACCTATGGAGTGTTCCTTTTACTTGACCCTCGATATTTCTTTCTTCATGTCAGATTTCCCTACCCCCTCTCCTTGTTTTTTGTTTAATATTCAGAACATCTGAAGCAATAAGAAAAAGATGAATAGAAAAGGATTATTCACTCTCATACTACAAGATCTAAGGAGCATCAAATGAAATTATGATGTGGCAGATCCAAAACAAGCATAAGGAAGTACTTCTATATACAGCACATAGTTAAACTGGAGAAGTCCCTGCTTCCAGGATATTGGGATGCCAAAAAGTATACTTGGGTTCAAAAGGTCAATGGCTAAATATACAGAATAAAAATCAGCCCCAAAGTATTAACCACAAGTATATCATATCTGGCTTAGTCAGCTCTACAATAACAGATTGCGAGAAGCTGGATGCATATACTCTGTTTGCTTAATCTGTTCTTATAATCTTCCCTGGACATCTGTTAGTGGCCTGTCAGAAACATGATACCAGAAAAGATAGACCTTTCATCTGACCTAATTATGTCTCTTTTAGCTTAAGAACATGAAAAACTTATAAAAATTAATGGGCAAAATTTTATTTATTATGACACATATGTCACTTTTCTAAATACACAGGAGTAAAATACTGAGTCCCCTATCCTATCAAGACCTATGAACATTTTTAACAGAATGTCTACCACAACACTTTGAGAAACAACCCTTTAAAATAATGTTAACATACATTTGGATATTCAACAAGTCTGAATTATATTAAACAATGTTCAAAAATTAATAATTAAGTTTCAGAMAATTTAGCTACAATGTTAGAGGTACTAGATAATCTTTAGCAGCATAATTGGCTTTTTCAATTAAAGTCTAGGCATAGGATGAAATTCCCTTTATTGGGCCTAAGAAGTTGAATCAAAAGATCAGTTTATGCAGCTTTAACATATTTCTGGTGCTTGCTGCAAGTAAGTCCAAAATACCAACCCAAACAGGATGCTAAGCACGGTCCACTACAATCACTCATTAATTAGCTCAATATATCGCAAAATTGGAATCCATACTATGAGCCCCTAGAAGCACCCTCTCTAGCAAAACTAAAATGTAAAGACTCAATTAGATGAAGGGCTGATAAATCTGATATCTTGGATTTGTGTGACATCCTGTGACTCAGAATGCAGTTTTAACTTATTACTATTATTMTTTTTATTTARATTATTTTCATGGTAGAACTCAAATACATGTATACCATGGCTAAGGTACTAGATCCAGATTAAAAAACCCATTTGGAATTATAAAGAGTTTAAATATTCATTTAGAGCACAGCAATACAGTATTAGGATTGGTTTCCGTGGATTCCCCCATAAACATCAAGATTACTGTCATCTGATCATAACACAAGTGCAACTAACACAGCTGCCATGTCAGCGTCTCTTCAGGGGCTAGGTCTTAATCATAAATCAACTGAATGACTAATTCAACATTGTTAAACTGCTTGGAGCCATTCCAGTTTTTACATCTTTCAAAAGGTCAATACACCTACTCAAACACACAACAGTCCTATCTTTCACAGTGTTTTCTTCTTTTCTTGGATTGAAAAATAACATGTTGGCACTTAAATATAAGTGTGCTTTAACTAACAATTAAAATGATCATTAATTCTGAAAGAGTGACCCAGTAAAACAAAGRCAATTTTAGTTTTCTCTCCATCCAAAATCAGAAAGCCTCTCCTCTCCTTTGCTGTGTTAACATTTTTATAATTGCARAAGTCTGATGAAAACATTTTATGTCTGAGCATTTCCTCCATTAACCTTAGCTTTGTTATAGTGATATTATGAATAAGGTTCAGAAAGAAACTTTTTTGAGAAGAATGACTAAGACTWAATGTGGCTTGCATTTCAAATATGAATACCTACCCCTCAAAATAATAACAAAAATCACGAAGTGGCATCTAACAGTAAAATACATTCTAATCACTTACAGCTGCTTGCACCACACAAATGACAGAAGCCTACCGTTAGCATCCTTCATAGAAAACATTTATTCTGCTCTTAAATATAAAAGCTATGTTGCATAAACAGAGGATTTAAAGCTGTGGCAGAGTGGCTGAAGGAAATGGCAATCTTTCTAGTTCTAGTAGATGCCTTTCCCTATCACACAATGTTTCCCACTCATAAATACATGACAAATACTTCCTCAATCATTTTTTACGAGCAGGGATGCACAGGGGGTAGTCAATGGCTAGCTTGAGGGAAAATAGGAACAGCAGGAGGCAGAAACTGTACTGAAAATGGCGATGTGGTAAATTCTCTTCTGGAACATCACTCAGATACCCAGGCTTTGATCTTTCAGCTACAATTACATTCACATCCATGAGATCTGGATATACTTTTTAAAAATTAAATCATTAATTGTAATAGGAACAGTTAAACTGTTTCATTACATGACTCCTCAACTCAAACATATGRTATTTTACGAATTAAAAACTGCAATTTATCCAAAGATTTGCTTTCAATTGGGTTTAACTATGTCATCATCACAACTAGTCTCACAAAAAACATGGGGTGACTGGCGACAGCTAAATCACAGACTGGCGTCGCCTAAGTAGTCTGGCTACCATTAGGGTCTGGGAAATGGTATTTACTGTACAATTAGAGCCAGTGAGCTCTACCTGTAATCATCCAAATACAGGTGTGAGGATCCTTTTTTGGACAGCAAAACCGACTCATCCATTTCCACATAAACTTCCATGCCTGTACTGTTATAGCAAACCTTAAGAAACCTCAGCATCTGTACTTTGAAAAAAACACCACCTTACAACAACAGAGCAAACATKAATATCCTGATTTTAATGACTTCCTTGGGTAGAACCACTTCTTATTTTTAAATTGTCAYAGCCAAAAAATATTTAAAGGAACAAATTCGTTTAAAATTATAAAATCTGGCCAAATATGAAGAGCTTACATTATTATATTGCTTATCAAGCCTATTCTAAAGTCTATATTTGGGACTGAGGGTTTGCTATTAAAATACGTTAAATTTTGTTCTTGAGYATCAACACAAAATGTCTTGGAGTATCAAAAGGACAGTTTTAGTTGCAGTAATTTCACTGAATTTATTCTAATGATTTATTGGAGTTAACCATCTGACATTAATTATTGTTTTGGCTTCCAGTCTATGAATGTTTATTTTTCAGTTTAAAGCCTTCTCACTCTTTGATATCATATGGAAATGAGAATTTTTAATGGAAAATTGAAACCATGTGCATCTAAGTACTTAATGAACTACAGGGAGAAACAGAGGGTGTACTTTAGGAGAATTCAGATATTCCGCTTTAGATACTTTTGATTTGTTTGGAGGAGTTACACGCATATATATCTGTTGACAAACATACATTTATACATCTTCRAAGTATTTCACAAGTACAGTTTTTTAAATTCTGAATTGAAAGAAAAGATTTGCTGTTTGGTTGGGGTTTTTTTCAACTAAATACCCTGATATAGATTTTCCTCCATCATATACTAGCTACTTAATCTGTTCCCTCCTCCACAAAGCAGTATTTATGCCATCTAGAGCTTCCAATGACATGCTAAATGCTGTACTTCTCATCAGCAGATTCCCATCATACATCCACCATGTTAGGACTGGATCTTCATCCAGTTCAATGAATGTTTGATAGATTGATTTTGTAACCATCACATACGTGAGTCACAATATTGATGTCAGAAACACCTGACTAAAACCTGAGCTGTTCATGGCATTAAAGCCATCAAAAGAGGCCTGTAAACCACAAGCAACACACAAGCAGTAGCAAGAAAGCCCGGCACCCAACTGCAAACAGAGGAGTGACGTTAAAATATGCAATTTTGTTTGAAATACTTCTGCGCAACTCATATAGCTTTAGTCTTCTGGCATTCAATTCATTGCTTTGGAATGAAAAAGATGTTGCTCAGACAACCAACATTATAGAACACAATAAAGCCATATGTTTATTTAAATTAGCACTTCTAAATCAAATCTACTTTCTTTAGAGTTAATGGATTCACGTAGAAACGTAAGGAAGGAAAGCATATTCTTTTCAGTCAGGGTTTCACCATACGCATTGTATTCAAGGAGYATGTCAACRGGAGCATAACAAGTAACAGAAGTGYAAGATTAGTTCATATTGCTATTTTAATTAATATCCTTGGTGATATAAATGTGCAAGGAATTACTGACCATTGAAAAATGGGAAACAAATACAAATYTAGACATTTAACCTGTACACACTCACCACTTGTTTTTCTTCCTAATGTAGTCTTTTTCAGAGAGATTAACCAAGTAGATCATTGGTTTTGAAGTGAAAAACAAATGTTTGTTCAAAACATCAATCTGGAAGTAAGAATATAAGGGGAGAATTTTAAAAACAGTTTCTAYCAACTTGAATTAATTTTATGATCATTTTCCTCATGCATGTCTGAGAAGGCTACAGAATTCAAGTGTAATACATAAATCACAGATAAGCATAGATTCAGCTAATGAATTCAACATTCAGTACACCATGAATATTAAAYCTAAAGAAAGAAACTTTACAAAGAACTAGTAACAGGTAGCAAAATTAGAAGTCAATTCATGGAATAATATTTATAGCCTACCTCTTTGTCATTCCAATCATGATAGAAGCGGACAGCTTTCTTTTCATCTATTACCCATGTCTTGATTTTGCACATTACGTCCTATGCAAGATCAAAAAAAAAACCAAAGTCAAAAACTCAGCTGGATATCAAGACTATTCTCTTCCATAAACAAGCCATGTATACATTAAGATTCAAAACATACACACAAACTAAAAATTAGATAATACCTTTTAGAAACAAATATTTACTCTCCCAGGAAAACAGAAACTGCTGCTTTAAAAGTCACTAGAGAGCAATATGGACTATTAAAGTCATCCAAACCCCACAATTAGAAAGTTAAATACACAATACTCAAGTATCATCTCTTGTCACCACGAACATCAGCAGAGCTCATAAAATATACGTAAAAATCAGTACATTTTAGATTGCTTTTCAAACTCAGTAAGACGCAACATTTCAGCATCCAGCGGGAGAGACCACGTACATATAAACATGCCATTAAGAAAAGGGAATGGGTGGGACAAAAAACAGCAAATCTCCTTTTTTTTTTTTTTAAATTGTGAGCAAAAGAAATGGAGCCTATTATTGATGATCCACCCTCAAGAAATTAATTCAAATGGCCAAAGCCCTTTTTATTCCGCATTAATTTTTCGCCAACACCTTCTCCCTCCCCCCCCAAAATGAAACCTGCCAAAGCCTCCATTACACAATGGCAAGAGCCTTGCACTGATGACCTCCAACCAGCTGCATTCACTTTCAGAACATCTCTCTCGGCAGGAAATCTAAAGGCCTTTTAGTTAGCAAGCTAGTGTGCATTCAGAAGGAGTAACTGCAGGAAGAGCCCAATGTGCTTTGTTTCTCTGGCCTTTCTTCACAGAAAGATTAATCATCTGTGAAATGGAAACGGCAAACAGCAAGTGACACAAACTGAACCCTTCAAGCCTTTCCTCATCAGTTTTGTGGTCGTGAATCCGAAAGCTGCGTGTGGCACGGTTCTCCTTACAGGCAGGTGTTAATAAAAGGCTCATGGGTCTGAAAGGTCAAACTCTGCTCTTCTAGGAGTAGTACATTTTAGAGTCGCCTATTTTTTGTTGTAGATAATTTATGATCATACTTTAAATAATGCATTTTTAAGCTGTATTTGACACAACTGAGCATTAACATCTTTAAAATACAAGGAAATGTTCCCTAAACTGTTGAGCATGTAACATTTTTTGCACTTAATGCTATGCAGTTGAAGGACATTTATAAACAACCACAAATAACATCAGTATTTACTACCGTCTTTTCTAGTCTTGCAGTAGCTTTAGTGGAGGAAAAAAAAAGAAAAAGCTCTTCTAAATCTTCAGATCCTGATTTGAAACCCTCCAGGAACAGGACTCCCCACAGATTTTAACAAGGAAGGGGCAAGSTAAAACTTTTAATGAAATCTAACATGTTCTGCCTAAGAATAATCACTTTTACTCTCCTATAACTGAATTTCACTCATAAATGTTTAAAAGTGGCTAATATAACACCATTTCCTACAAGGAGAAGATCAAAGTGCTATATTACAAATGCATTATGATTAAAAAAGCACTGTGCAGCTTTGCTATTAACTGTTCTTTAAACCCTAAAAGGCTTCCCATAGATCTCACTTGGCACTGCATATACAACCTTTGACAAGTAATGTAGACCATTTTTATTCATTGCCTAAAATTGTAGGCAATTATGTGCGTCACACTGGCCACCTGCAAATTCTGAATGCCTGCTCCAGTTGTCAGAGCAAAAAACTAATGTCGGAGGGGATTAATCTAGGGGGAGAGAGTCCTCTTTAATGGCTTCAGCAGGTGAAATGGCCCAGCTGGTTACTATGATGAGTGGCCAGAACAGCTTATGTAGAGACATGCAACAAGATTACACATAAAGAAGAAAACAGTGGTACCATCTTATCTTTAACCCTATGTGCTTTTTATTTTTTAATTACTCAGTATAAACAAGATAAGGGAAGCAATTCTACCAATAAGTACTTTTCACTTCAGATCTTTATCCTCAGCTTCCCTTTAAACAGATATGTATAAAAATCAACACAACCTCCAAGATTCCTGTTCAGCAGTGAAGGAATTCTGGTTATACACTATTTTGGATTTCAAACTAGTTCTGTGGGTACCTACCACATGGCTTTCAGTATTACCGTTTCTAACACAACAGCAACACTTTGCTACATATAAATTGTAGACAATAAAAATTGGCAAAAAAATACAAACAAAAAAAAAACCAAAAAACCACTATAGCACAAAGTCATCACAGCCAAAGGCTCAAGCAGAAATGAAATTTTTTGTAATCACACTGTAAAGGGAGCTACGTAATACAGAACCTCCAGAAAATTCCAGGCATCAACACAGCAAATGAAGTTTGGCCTTTCTAAAGCCTATCTAAAGACAGAACTGCCAATYAAAACCTCTCTTCCACATGCATCTGCTACCTATAGTGACACACAGACATAAATCCATTCTGGCATTGACCTAATTTTAATAAGTTCTGTTTCACGTACCTGACTTGATGCTGTTTGAAACTGTTGTTCTAAAGGAATGATTACATGGACAATTTCCACGGRTAAGGCTGACCTACAGATGAACATGCTGAGGAGAACTAACAACCATATATCTACTTGCAATTTTATTCTGGCTTTATAGGAAGTTGGTAAAGTATTGGAAAACGTTCTTTAGATAAAAGCATGGMAACTTGTAAGCAAATGCAGCGTTTTTCTGTGAAGCTGATGAAGCAGTGAGACAGTGGAGTTCCCTGATGGACTATCTGGGCAGCAGTCACACCATGCAGAATGTAAGGCAGACAGCCCAGAAACGGAAAAAAATGGGTCAGCTGAACTCAGGTTCCCCTGCATCAATGGTGGTGTCCCATTTAAATGAGACTTAATATAACTCCTTAACAAGAAACTGTTAAGCACAAATGATAATATGAAGAAAGGTGTTTCCACGTATTTCTGTTTAACTCAGCTGCCCCAATACTTTAAACAAACATGCAAACAGCACATTTTTAGGTTATTTCCCATGTAGCACCATGTTAAATTATTTGCTTCTATTTAGGACTGATGAAAGAGYATGAACTGACCTTTTTATCTTCTCTATCACTGTAACAGTAATTGAAATATGTTTAATCACTGCTCAAGTTAACTTCRAGATGCTTCATAACAGAACACAGAGCAATGACCCACTTTATTTCATTAGATCTGGCCTCCCCAGTTGCACACTTTGAAGTCAATCTGTCACCAGCAGAATGATCCACTTTGCMTTCTTTGATGAGCAGGGTACTCTTGTTTTTCAGCTAGCAACATTATAACAAGAACCATTCAGAAAGCCACCAAAAATCCCTCCAAATTCCAATTTGCTTACAGTTGTCAAGGCATGTGAAATACAGCAAACTTCATTAATATCAAATATCACTGTTTTAAAAATCAMTTAATTTCTGATCATATTCATGGCAATATAGTACATATGAATATTCAGTATATTTAGCCCTATGAAATGCAGTGATTCTAATTTATGTCCTGCTCTCATTTTCCAAAGACCACAAGTAGTCAACCCACAAATGCTAAGCAGGACATCAAYAGTAAGTCCAGCAGTATAAAATAATGAAATACATGTAAATTGTATATAGCAGATTTACCAAGACATGCTCACGAGACACTACTGTGTAGAAAAATGTGCATACATTAATAGACTTTCTGGATGAATGGTAGTAATAATGTGTGCCAATGCCAAATTCTTCTTACAGCATGAGGGACTAAACTGAAGCTTGGAAAACTCACTTGCCTACTTGGCATCAGAGAATTGTGATTTTTTTTGTTGTAAATTAGCAGGGCATGTAATTAACTTCCGCAAATTTAATAAAGAAATAAGCAGTTGTGAGGATTACCACTTCACACTTCAAAGTGCAAGCGAATTCTCTGTGATCCTGCAGGCAGTGCAAAAGTGTCTACTACTGCAGAGTAACTGTGAGTACAGTAGGTTTTTCCCCCACCAAGGGATATATGGAGTGTTTTCAGCACCTTATTAATTCCCTTCCAAACTTCCAAGATATAAAAATGTACCATCTCCCTGTAAAAGCTTCAAAAGTAGTTAAATGTTTTTTATTCAAATGTTTCATTTGACAAAAATCCCATAATTTACACTGTTCTACTGTTTGGAAAAGCCACAAGGAGTACCTAAAACATTATTTCTAGCTCTTCGTTAGTTCTCCTCATTTCACACTGAAGTCCAACACCATCACATTCCAATAATGAAGGTGGTAGTGTATAAATAACATATTCTGACTTCCCTAAGGAATCTGGTTCAGTGGTGTAAGGCATTTCCTTAATAAATCACGAGATACACTACATGGAGTCAACACCACCTAAAGATCTCAGAATACAACTGTAAATAAAACACTCAATGTGTGTTTCTGGTGGCACTCCAAATTTCACTCATTACCATCTCTCAATAGCCAAAAAGACCATGTTAATGACACACATTCTGAGAATAGTAAATGACTAAAGATGGGAACCTGTGTAGGAACCAGAACTGCCACACAGCTTTAGTGAAAGCAAACTACGTTTTTCAGTACAAAACACCAAAGTTCATACAGGGCTGGGYAGGGGACAAAGGGAGGGTGGATACAATATTTACCAATAGAGGACTTCTGTCTTGCAAGAGTTACTGAGAAGCCTAGAGGGTCACAACCAAATRATCTGTAATGTAACTAGCAGACTAATGCAATCTTTGAGTATATAAATAGCCTAATGTCCAATGGGTGTAATTCTACACTTATCTCTGCTAAACAATGAAAAACTAGGAAAAAAAACAGAGGTTTTGAGAAAGTGCTTATGCATGAAGATTTGGTGYTCTTAAATTCTATGCCTTTACTCTTATTGCATTTTGTATATATAAAACAAAAACCTCACATATACAGGATTTTTCACATGGCACAGAGAAATCAAATGACAGCTGAAGCTTAACAAATCTAGACTAAAGCTGTGTCTCACTTCTATACAGTAAAGATAATTAATCATTGGCATAGTTTATACAAGTTAGAGTAATTTATCTCTAGTCAGAAAAAAGGTT